ATTACTCACCTTCTTCTACCAAGATTTCACTAGTTCAAGTGTTCAGCTAATACTTTTTAATACTTCCAATAGTTCTATAATTCTATTGCTTTGAAAAATCTTAATCTAAAAAGAATTATTAGAGAAAATCGAATTATAAAAAAACTTATTAACAATTTTTTATCTCAAAAATTTAGAAGAATAGACATCAAATAAAATATATCTTATAAGTTTTTTTTAGAAAATTTAGGCCTCATATTAAATTTTGGCTTTAGGGCGTATATGCTTGAGCCGCCCCTGCTAAAATGGTCCTATTTGTGTAAATCACCCTCAATTACATTGTATTGCGCGAATTGAAACCCCCAAAAGGAATAGAAGAATACTCTTATCGCCCATGTGAGATCGTGTTTAGCATGTCACTACTAGTTTATATGAAGCCCTTGAATACAAATTAAAGACCCTGTGTTATCACTAACTGGCTGACGTATTTCTAGTGGATCAAAATTTTCATGTGCCAATAAGTCACATAAAAAGAAGTTGTTATCAACGACCTACGATCTCTCAACATAATTAAAAACCTCACGGTAACATAACACAATGTAAGTAAAATATGGATATAGACGATGTCAATTAGTTAAAACTAAGGCTTCGCCTTGACACTACTCTTACATTGGATTCAGCGAGTGTTAGGAGCTTGCTTAGCTTGTCTAGAGATGTGTATATCAATAAAGAAGATCTAGTATTGAAAAACATTGAGTTAATGAATATCAGAAAGAAATAGGTCCACATGAAGCAATTTGTTAATGAGGATTCATATAGTAGACCCCGACAACTTTAAAATTTGGCATAGTTGCTGATGTTGTTGGTAATTTAAATTCAGTAACTCCAGGTTCTTAAGATCTGCCCCGACCATTCGGAAATACAACAGCATTCAACATGTATCAACAATCAATTGGAAACAATAAACCAATGCCAACATAAAATCAGCATGACCAGGAGAAATCTCCCAATGAATGTAGACATATCTAAATTAATGGAACGGTAAGCACAAAATTTTTCCTCGAACTACAGAAAGAGTATAGCTGATTGTCATCAAATGTCCCAAAACCAGAAAGGCGGATGCCATATGCTTCCATTCTGTGTACATCCCGTGGAATAGGTGACTGCCAAAGTCCATCCCACCATGCAGGCGGAAGAATAGGAGTATGAGCACATTGCTTAGATTGGTTGTGGCAGCTTAACGTACCAGCAAATCGGTTCCACACGTGCCCCCAACCAATCTGATTCTTTAGACCTTCTGCAAGCAAGTTACTCTGGAAGCTACTGAGGAAGGTGAAGTTTGATCCAGCAGAGGATCTATCATCTGAGAAAGATATATTTGAATGAGAAACATAAAAAGAGACATATTCACCTAAGGGTGGGATCAAAACCACTGTGAAGTTACAAAAATTACCAAGGCTGTTAGCTGCAGCCAATGCTGCAACCAGCTGAGCAAACGTGGTCCCAACACGCCGGTGAGCCCCAGAGACAACTGCATGTTTTGCACGTGAAGCAAGAAAGAAATCAACAAATGCAACCCATCTTGGTGCGGTACCCCAATCCTTCGTTCTAAAATTGAGAGTATGAACATGTGATTTGCCAGATATATTTCCTTTAAAGCTTTCGAAATCGAAGTGAAGGACCTAGCAAAACCAAATAAAAGCATATCAACAACCCGGTTCCATTAGATTGTGAAGTTGGAGCACTACAAGTTGGATCTCTGATAACTAGTGCTTCCTGTTATCTTAAAAGATTAAGCAGCAACAAGGGAATTGGAAAATTCAGCTTACTTCTGCAAACTGATTCAATTCTGGAGCAATATCTTTGACCAGAGAAGGATTATCTGAAACTAATACTACTCTGGGCTTGGACGTCAATTTTAGATTTTCCACAGATTTGCTGATGCAAGTGAAAGCTGCTTGAACTGCTCTAATGGATCTGAGAAAATATAAAGGATGAAAGTTGATAATTAACTGCGGAGTACGGGCTCATGTTAATTCTTTCTGACAATCTACTGAAAATCGTATACTGCAAAAACTGCAAATATACACAACATCAACTGTCCCCGCTACATGTATGATCCACATGCAGTGGAAAGGTACAGTATCAAATCTTTTTCTACAACCTCTGTTATGGAAAGGTATCACTGTAATAAACTGCAAGTATTCCAAGGCGGGGTAAATTAATTTCATCTAGAAAATTTTCTCCCTATTTTACTTTCTTTCTGATAGACACAAAAAAAGAAAAGGAAAAAGAACAGGAAAACCCCACGCAAGTCAGTGAACTATTGATATCATCTAACCAAAGTGGAATGGGGTCATATTTACCTAGATCCTGAGGTCTCGAAAAATCACACATAGCATAAGGTCTGTATAGGTAAAGGCAAATGCTCTATTTTTCCCTTCAAGCATTCACCGTTCAAAATGAAGAGATAATTTGGAACAATAACTTAACCAAGTAAAGTAATAAGAAATCAACAATGCTATCTTGAGCTCCATTTGTTGTTGAAAGAAAAACTAATCCTTAGTTTTAGAAGGAGCAAAAGAAATATCACAAAGAAACAAGAGAAATGAAAGAAAGTGATTTTCTTTTCTTTCTTCGGTTTAGAAAATAGTTTTACCTCTCATTTTCTTGCTCTTCCTTCATCCAAACCAGACAATGGGAAAAAAATTTCAAACTTCCCCTCCCTTTCTCTCCTTTTCCCTTCACTAGTTTCCAGATATCTCTTAAAAGATTATATATTGTGCAGCTTATCAAAAGAAGATTAATCACTCTAATATCAGAAACAATGCACTGGAGGACAAATAATTCATGCATTGGGAAAGATAATGGGTAGAAGATGTAGAACTACGATAGCCTATTGCATCATATGGACTTTATGCACAGAACAAAACTGGAGCTTCTACGAGTAAAAGAACCAGCTTTGAATTTGAAGCTTAAATATCTTAGGAACTAGTTTTGTGGTATATAATCAAGAGCTTGTGCAACTTTTGACTCATTTCTTTTCTAGATTTAAATAGATAAATTTGCTTTTACCCTATTATAGAACACTGGTAAGAGACCAATCAAACTATTCAACTTTCTTCACATTATCTTAATCTAACTGAGACTTTGTTACTTCAGCTACTAATTTTTACCAGAAACCTTCAACTTCAGCAAGTGTTTATAAAAAAAATTCAGAAAGTTATATAGCAATAACCTATTATATGCAGAGGCAAGAATAAACTTTCAAGTTACACTACCTATTCATAAGCATCCGCATGTGTAGAGCAATATCAGGGTCAGCACCACCACTTAGTGCCCAGTTCACAGCATGTTGAATATTCTCCGACGGAGATATGAGAAGTCTCATTAGCTCCCCAAATACGTTAGGCCTATGGTGAAGGTCAGCTGGTTTTCCAAACAAAGTAGAAGCAGCTATCCTCATCTCATCATGTACATTCTTCAAGAAAAATTGAGCAGCCACGGCATCTGTTGTATTCTGAAACCTGTCCCAACGAAGTTATTCATCGAAATGATTACTCTTTCTATAAAATTTTTGGAAGAGTGGAGAGAACACGAATCGTGAATGATATTCTCATTTACCAGATAATAGGCTGTTCCCAAACCCTCCAATTGCTACACAGAACATTTGTTCGTGCTGGCTTCTGGAAGTCATCAATTCTGATAACGAGATGCCTCCCATATTTGGTCAGACAACCATTCTGTCTCCAAAGGTGCTTGATTTCTTTCAATGTGAAGGAAATATTGGAGTAATAGATGAAATCCTCAAAAGGATATCTACCCCTGAAATTTTCAAAATGCAAAAATTAGACAGTAAAGAAGATATTTCCAGAGTACTAGGCCACTACAACTATGCATAATCCATAGTATTATTTTATTATGAAGAAAAAGAACTTCACTAATATAAGAGAAATACTTAGAAATATGGAATCCGAAACTAGATATGTACAAATAGAAAGGCTTGAGAGAGAACCAATATATGCCTGGTTTGCCCAATTATCAACGACCGGTTCAACATCACGCTCAGTGCAGCCGCAGT